AACAGGAAATATTGCAGCCTGTTTATTTCTCTGGAAGCTTCCTCCCAGGGGGCACCTGCTGGATGCCAGTGGGAGCTCTCCTGTATGAGGTGTCTATTGATTCCTGCTGCAAGATGTCTCCCAGTCAGGAGGCATGGGGATAGGTACCCACGTGAGGAGGCAGTCTGTCCCTTTGCAGAGCTCAAGTGCTGTGCTGGGAGATCCACTGCTCTCTTCAGAGCTAGTAGGCAGGAACTTTTACATCTGTCGAATCTGGACCCACAGCTGCCCTTTCCCTCAGGTGCTCTGTCCTAGGGAGATGGAATTTTATCTATAAACCGCTGACTGGGGCTGCTGCCTTTCTTCAGAGATGCCCTGCCCAGAGAGGAGGAATCTAGAAAGGCAGTCTCTCTATTGTGACTTTGTAGTGCTGTGGTGGGCTCTGCACAGTTTGAACTTCCTGGCAGCTTTGTTAACACTGTATGGGGAAAACTGCTTACTACAGCCTCAGTAATGGCTGACGCCCTTCTCCCCACCAAGTTGGAGCATCCCAGATTGACTTCAGGCTGCTGTGCTGGCAGTGAGAATTTCAAGCCTGTGGATCTTAGCTTGCTGGGCTTTGTAGGGGTGTGATCTGCTGAGTTAGACCACTTGGTTCCCTGGCTTCAGTCCTCTTTCCAAGGGAGTGAAGGCTTCAACTCCCTTTCCAGGGGAGTGTCTCACTGGTGTTCCAGGTGCCACTGAGGTATGAAAAAGACTACTACAGCTAGCTCAGTGTCTATCCGAATGGCTGTCCAGTTTTGTGCTGGTGAAACCCAGGGCCCTTGTGGTGTAGGCACCCAAGGGAATCTCCTGGTCTGTTGGTTGCAAAGATCATGGGAAAAGTGCAGTATCTGCGTCAGAATGCACCATTCTTCCCAGTACAGTCTCTCATGGCTTCCCTTGGCTAGGGGAGTGAAATCACCTGACCTGTTATGCTTCCTGGGTGAGTCAGCATCCCATTCTGTTTTGGCTCACTTCTGTGGGCTGCACCCACTGTCTTACTAGTCCCAATGAGATGAGCTGTGTACCTAGCTGGAAATGCAGAAATCTCCTGCCTTCTGCATTGATCTCGCTGGGAGCTACAGACTGGAGCTAATTCTATTCGATCATCTTTCCCAGGTTCCCCCAGCTGTGTCATTCTGTTCTGTAGTGCTCAGTAGAACCATATCCTAGGGAAGATAAGTTCTTGGCCACCTGAGTTATCTCAGTAAGGGCAGCATTTTATACTTGCTTCCTATCAGCTTTGGGGTTTATGTAAGTGCATGTGGTTTTGGGAATCTACTATTCATTTACAGGGCTGCCTTGAATGGCCAGATAGTCTGTTTCATTAATATCCACTTCTTGTTTGCATGCTTTTATCAGAATACATGCTCTTTATTTGGCTTTTCAAGCATTCTATTTATATGTGACCTTTGTCATCCCAGCGCTGGCCATTTAGCAGACAGTTCCTTCTGCTGAGAACACAAAGGCTCTGAGGAACTTTCTGTGGATTCCTCTGTTCTCCCAGTGGCCCTTCATGGGACTCTGAGTGTCCAGTTTCTCAATATGAGAATATCAAGAAGTAAAGGAAATCCAAGAAAGAGCAAGGAACTTTTCCTTTGTCCTCTGTTGGGAAACTTCACATATTGCCAAGTATTTTAAAGCGAGATTTGACCCTAAGCAAAACTAAGAATCTAAGAAGTTAATGATTGCACTCTCCTACCTTTTGACCTTCTTTGGTTACCCACATCCCTATAACCCATGGTCATTATGATTTCCTTAGCTGTCTTCCACTCCCACTTGCTCTTCTGCCTTCTCTGGCAGTGGACAAGATGATTTCCAGCCTGGACTTCCACAAGCCCTCAGTTGCACTGTTATATCAATATATTAATCTTATATTGGTATCATAATGACTGGTAAATAACATAGAACCTTCCCTTAAAAAGTTCCCATTGGACATTGTTTTCAGAGACTTTCTAAAAATATTGACTTAACCCAAAAAAGTAGTTTAAATGGAAAACCTTTAATCAGAATATTGAAAATATTTTGAATTTTGGGGACCTTTTGATTTTTTTTTTTGCCACATATAGATCTAATAATAAAATCACTTCTAGGAAGCAATTTTAAAGGTATTATCAGACATGTGGAGCAAGATTCATTTGTAGAAATGTTTATCACCTTTTGTGATAAAGACCCTATTTTTGGAGAAAGCCCTTGACTTTCACAAAATATATATTTCAAGATCTTTGCGAATCTCCAAATTTGCAAATCCCGTGATAGCTTATAATTCCTCTCATAAAATGCAGGAAAGTAACTTAAAGATTTAAGTAATCCCTTTAGACTCTTAATTTATATGCTGCTATAATTTATAATGCATTTATAATACCATTAAAATAAATTCTTACTAAAGCACTCACAGAATGTTTCAGAATCATTTTTTTTTTGTTTTGTTTTCATACAAGTGGGGCATATTTATATCACAGATGCAGGCCTTAGGAAAATTTAACATTCTAATTTATCTAAATCTTCTATTTCCTGGCTAAGAAATATTACCTTCTTAGACAATTTTCTTCACTTTTATCACCATCCCTGTAAATGGGCTTTTATTGAAGGGAGGATGCAGACCATTTAACACGAAGACACAGTTTTGTTTTTTCTTTCTTTCTTCCATCATTTTATTAGAGTGATGGCATACAGGGTAACCACTAGAACATAACACAATGAATTTGAGATTTAAATTCCAGGTGCTAGGCCAGGTTCATTCACTAGCCCAGGGACTCCTCCCACACAGCAGCTGTACAGCATTCCAGATTCAGACCAGTACACCAGAGAAACAACAGATAACTGCTTGTCAAGTGTTTGGTGCTCATAGCATTGCATAGTGAAGAGAGAGAGAATTTGGATTAAAAACCCACTATGCTGACTTTTTCGTTTTCATTCAGTCATGTCATTTTGAACCATTCTGTGTTTCCCTTATCCATAAAATAGAAATGAAAATCTTCACTTTATAAGTTTATTATAAGGATCAGTGATAATTTAAGTGCCTGGCACAGGGTTGATTCAATTACCTCTTTTTTTTTCTCCAACTTTTAAGTTCAGGGGTACATGTGCAGGATGTACAGGTTTGTTACACAGGTAAATGTGTGCCATCGTGGTTTGCTGGACAGATCATTTCATCACCTAGGCGTTAAGCCTAGCAGCCCTTAGCTATTCTACCTGACACTCTCTCTCTACACCCCTGCTGACAGGCTCCGGTGTATGCTGTGTCCCCCATGTGTCCATGTGTTCTCATCATTCAGCCCCCACTTATAAGTGAGAACATGCAGTGTTTGGTTTTCTGTTCTTGTGTTAGTTTGCTGAGGATAATGGATTCCAGCTCCATTCATGTCCCAGCAAAGGATATGACCTCATCCCTTCTTATGGCTGCATAGTATTCCATGGTGTATATGTACCACATTTTCTTTATTCAGTTTATCAATCATGGGCATTTAGGTTAATTCTATGTCTTTGCTATTGTGAATAGGGTTGCAATGAACATATGTGTGCATGTATCTTCATAATATAATGATTTATATTCCTTTGGGTATATACCCAGTAATGAGATTGTTGGATCAAATGTTATTTCTGCCTCTAGGTCTTTGAGGAATTGCCACACTGTCTTCCACAATGGTTGAACTAATTTACAGTTCCACCAACAGTGTATAAGAAGTTCTTTTTCTCCACAACTTCATCACCTGTTATTTTTTGACCTTTTATTAATAGCCGTTCTGACTGGTGTGAGATGGTATCTCATTGTAGTTTTGATTTGTATTTCTCTACCATGATCAGTGATGTTAAGGTTTTTTTCAAATCTTTGTTGTCTCCATGTATTCTTCCTTTTGAGAAGTCTGTTCATATTCTTTGCCCACATTTTAATGGGATTGTTGGTTTTTTTCTCTTGTAAATTTGTTTTAAGTTCCTTATAGATTCTGGATATTAGACCTTTGTCAGATGGATAGATGGCAAAAATTTTCTCTCATTCTGTAGGTTGTCTGTTCACTCTGATGATAGTTTCTTTAAGTAACTCATTGTTATTATGATAAGAAATATAATCCTGGCAAATAGTGTGAAACCTTCCAATATCAAGCAAAAATTTAAAAAGTAAGTGCCCCACAGTAGGGAAAGTGAAAATAAGTTATGCTACATCTATAATCATGGGCCACTGTACAGCCATTCAAATAAGATTCACAACAAACTTTAATTTGTGGGAGAAATTTGCATACTTTACATGGTTAAAAACTGCAAGAACAAGAAGTTTATGAACAATATGGTGAATATATCTGTATATAAAAATATACAATAAAGATCTTTCTACAAATTCTAGTTATTTCTGGATGAAGGGACTATTAGTGATTTTTATTTCATATTGTAAATGTCTCATTGTAAATGTCTGTTATATCTATAATAAGTACATATTAACTTTATACTGAGAAAAAAGTTATTTTAAATTTCTGACACATGGATGGCTATGTTTTCTGCCTGCAGAAAGTACTGGCATTGTTTAAAGTTTACATACTAATTTGACCTCAATATTACACAGATTTATCTGGTCCAAACCAAAATAGGCAAAGTTCTGCACTGGGGAGAATTAGTCTGGCTAGAATATGATTCTGGATTTCTCAACAGTGGGAATAATGTGGAAGACAAAAATTTGCCTCTTGCAAATTTCATAGATAATGTAATAACAGAATGATAACATTTACAGAAAAACATTATTGCTCATTTTGTTTTAATGCCTACTGCATTTTAGTCCTATCTTGGGCAAACACAAATGTCTTACTGCATAATTGCCATGTTTAAGATTACAGTTTGGAAATACTCCTAAAACCATTCCCCTGTTTAAATTCATAATGCCATCTAGTAATGATGCTGTAATAAATAATAAATGTATTCCTTAAAACTAAATATCTAAATCTAATTTCATTTCACTTACTTTTAATTCTCAATTTTTGTTTTGTCAGGTGAAGTACATGATGACCTGGGTCAGAAGATGGAAGTAACTCAGGTGTGGAAGTGATAAAGTTTTATTCTTAGTTTTAATTTCAAATTATATGTGCTTTTAAGAAAATGACAAACTTTTGGTGTCCTAATTTCCACTAAGACCAGATGAGATACTTAATATATAACAAAAAAATAGATTAATATGGTTCCAAATTCCTTCTCATCTAGATTCCCCAACCAGAAATTTCCTTCTATTTTTTATTCTCGAGATATTTACGCAGATGCAAGCTATTATATTCCCCCACCTTTTACATAGAGGAGAGATATAATTATGTAGGTGATAGCATAATTTACATACTGTTCTTCAACTTTCTCCACAATGTATCTTGGAGGTCTTTCTAGAATAGTTTTTAAAAAGTACTTTCTCATTCTTTTTAATGGCTGAATGATATTTTGTCATATTGATGTTCCAGAAGTTATATGAAGAGACACTAATGGACATTTAGGATTTTCAGTATTTTTCTAGTAAAGAAAATACAGCAAAAATAACTGGGTACATAAGTTATTTCACATGTTAGGGAATATAGCATCTGTTTCTGGAAATGAAATTGCTAAATCAAAAGGTATGTGCATTCATAATATGGTAAATATTGCAAATTGCCTTCTTTAGAATTCATAACAATTTACCCTGACACAAACAAGTGTAACAGTGTCTGTTTTTCCCCCACTCTCATGAATACAGTGTTTCATCAAAATTTGTGATTTTTGATGAGATTATATGAAAAATGAGTACAGTAATATTGGTTCTAATTTTATTTTCTCTAAGTGATGTTGGACGTACTTTCAAATGTTTAAGAGCTTATTGTATTTCTGTAAGTTTCTGGTTCATAATTTTTTACCCATTTTTTTTCTATTTGATTGCCTGTTAATTTGTTTATTTTTATATTAGGGAAAATAAGTATTTGTGAAATGAGTTTTATGTATTCTTTTCCCAATTTGTCATTTGTCCCATGATTTTTTTTCTGGTATTTTTGCTATGGGAAATATTTTATTTTCATGTAGTTGAGTTTATCAGTTTTTCCTCCCTCTGTCACTGAGTTTTATGCCTTAACTATAAAGCACACCATCCTTATAGAGTTAATGTTTTGCATTTAAATTTTAGACTCATTTGGATTTTATCCTGGTGTGGCATGTAAAGTTTAAGTATAACTATATTTTTCTCCAGATGACTACTGACTTTACCCATTTACTTAAAAGCCTGTTCTTTTTTTCGCTAATTCGGGATGTTGCCTTTATAACAAGGCAAACTTGTGTACTAGGTCTATTACTGAACTTTTGATGTGTTCCCTTTTCTTTCTATGCATATGTTAGTATCATACTGTTTTAATTATTGACAAAGGCCGGGAGTGGTGCCTTACGCCTGTAATCCCAGCACGTTGGGAGGCCAAGGTGGGCAGATCACCTTAGGTCAAGAGTTCGAGACTGGCATGGCCAACATGGTGAAATCTTGTCTTTACTAAAAACATAAAAATTGGCTGGGCGTGGTGGTGAACGCCTATAGTTCCAGCTACTTGGCAGACTGAGGCAGCAGATTTGCTTGAACCTGGGAGGCAGAGGTTTCAATGAGCTGAGATCTCACCACTGTAACTCCAGACTGGGTGACAGAGTGAGAATACATCTCAAAAATAAAATAAAATTAAATAATTGCAAGGCTCTAACATTTGGTAAGGCTAGTTTTTTTTTTTCCAGTGCTTTCTTTTCCCCTAGATATTCCTTAACTGTTCTGCTTATTTTGCTTTCCTCATGATATTTTTATTAGAATGACATTAAATTTATTGAATATCTTATGAAGTGTAAATATCCTTATGATGTTGAATCTTTTTATCCAAGAACATAGCATGTATTTAAAGCTACTTAAGTCATATTTTGTGCCTCTTAGAAGCATTTTCAGGTATTCTGCATATATACCTTGCTCATTACAAACAACTATTCCTAGGTATGCAGTTAATTTTTTTGGTTATTGTTTCCACCTGGAGTGTTTCTCTCCATTTTGACTCTTAATATGAAAGCAATAAATTTGATTGTTAATTTTGTATGCCACTATCTTACTATATTTTCTTTTGTTTATAGTAAATTTTAGTCTTTTTCTGTGGGGTTTCCAAGTATATAATCATACTATCTGAAAACAGAGACAGTTTTACCCATCATTCCATCTTTTTTACTTTTATTTTTCTTATCTAATTGCATTGGTTAGTACTTCTAAAATAATACAAAATAATATGGCCTTTTAAAAATATCTTTGTTTCCAACGTTAGTGCATATGTTTCTAGTATTGTCTCATTAAACATAATCAAAAATTGGGACTGAAATAGATACATTTTCGGAATATTCATCTATTCAATATATAAATTTATTTTCACACATAAAAATTTATTTTGTTAAAGTCTAAGTTGGATACTGAATTTAACCAACAGCCCTTTGTCACCTGTGAGGATAATAAACTGTTTTTTCTTCCCTGTATATATTAATATGATACACTGTATTAACAGATTCAATTTCTTCCGTATTTTCCTGGAATAAATGCCACTTATGTTAAACTGTTTTATAATGTGCTACTAGATTCTGTTTACTAATGCTTTATTTAGATATGCGCATTCATCTTTGTAAGAGACATGCCTTTGCAGTGTTCTTTTTTGGGGTAATATATGTTTTGCTACCAATGTTATATTTGCTTTAGAAACATAAATTAGGGATCTTTCCTTCTTTTTGTATTCTGTGGAACAGTTTATATACAATCAAAGTAATATATGCTTTAAAGGTTTCATAAAATCTCGCTATAAAATTATGTGAACCTGGTGCTATTTCACATAATGGCTCTTAGGTAATGTTCTTTATATTCTTGTCTACAGCAGTTATCTGTTTAGAATTTCTATCTCTTTTGGAGTGATTTGGAAAATTATATTTTCTTAGAATATTGTGAAATTCAATCAGATTTTCACATTTATTTGCAAAGACTAATAAATCTTTTAAATTCATATTTATTTTCACATTAATTTTCAGAGACTCCTAAGTCCTTTAATTTCCTCTGTGGTTCTTTTTTGTTATTTCTCATCTGTCATTCTGGTCTGTTCCTGATTATGTTAGCAAATAATTTAGTTGCCCCTTTCTCCCACAAAGAAGTATAGCTGTTGGATTTACTTACTTTTTTCCTGTGTTTTAATCAATAACTTTTGCTTCTTTATTAATGCCTTCTTCCTGCATTCCTTAAACTTCTTTTTTTTTTTTTTTTTTTTTTTTTTTTTTTTTTTTTTTTTTTTTTTTTTTTTTTTTTTTTTTTTTTTTTTTTTTTTTTTTTAAAAATACAAATATTTATGGTTAACAGTTTCCCCCTGAACACTGCTTTAGTTTTATTACATGTATTTTGACATGTAGTTTATTAAAGTATTTTAATTTTATTTTTATATTATTATCTTTATTTTTGACATATCAATGAATTCACATTGAACCACTGAGTTTGAACCGTAAGTTTTTAAGGAAGAATTAAAAATTTCCAAATAGTAAGGGTGTTTTTCTCCCTAACTTTATTGCACTTTTAATAAAAGAAATATTTTTATTATTGCTACTTTTTAGAATTTATTGAGGTTTTCTTTGTAGCTTAATAAGGTTAATTGTTATTAATGTTTCAGGATCCTTAAGAAGAAAGTATATGTGTTCTAAAGTTCAGAATTATAGCTATATATAATTTAGCTCTATCTTGTTAACTATATTATTTAGATCTTCTATATAATTATTTATCTTTTATTTATGTTATCTGTTTGAGTTAAAGCAGCTAATTAAGGTGTTCTGATCATACTTTCTGTCTATAGGTCATATACATTCCAAAGTCTGTTTTATTGAGTATTGATGCTAGTTTTTTGTTATATTGATGGTCATAATGGTTTAACTGTTATTATGAATTATGCAATTTAACATACTCCTTTTTGGCTCATTCAATTCTTCTTGCCCTGATTTAAACCTGATTTGCTATTAAGATCATTATTCTTCTTTTTTGTTTTCATTTATATTTGCCCACTTTTTATTTTCAAAGTTCTTGAATTACTTTGATTTAGGCGTTTGTTTTGTGTGTGACACAGGGTTGTATTTTTCTTTTGCTTTGAGTTCCAATCTTTTAATGAGTTTGGTCCATTTACAAGGGCTATACCTTGTCTTGTTTCTGTTATAGTATTTTAGGTTATTATTTTTTATCTTTATGATTTTTAATTATTTCCTTATTGTCTCTTTCTTTTACTCTGTGTGTTTGTATGCATTTCTTGTAATATTTAAGCAAGTATTTTATTGTTTCTGTACTGTATACTCTCCAGCGTTTATGTAATACTTTTAATTTTTTCTAAAGTTAATGTTTATCAGTTTCATGATATGAACAATGATGAGATTATTTCTCTTTTACTCATATTTTCTAATATTTTTCTTAATAGTACTTTTAATCTGAAAAATATACTAATTTCTATGGTCCATTTGCAGCTTCAAATGATATTTTCTGTTTTTCAAATACCAAAATGAGAAAATCAGCATCTTCTCCCAATTTTTTTTAGCAATCTTTTCACATAGTCAAGTGTGTAATATTTACATTTCGTTTTGTCATCCTAATCTATTTATTTTAGACTAGTCCTTCAGCTAAAGTTATTTTGTGTTCACCACTAACTAGTCCATTTATCAGTTTTTTTTTTTTTTTTTCCAGTTGTTTTTCTATTTGGCTGAAGTTCACCCTCTAATTTCAAGAATGCTTCATAAGAAGTATCTATTCAGGCCAAGTGTGATGGCTCACACCTATAATCACAGCACTTTGAGAGGCAAGGCGAGAGAATTGTTTGAGGCTAGGAGTTTGAGACCAGCTTGGGCAACATAGTGAGACCTTGTGTCTATAAACAATAAAAAAAAAATTAGCTAGGCTTGCTGGGTCACGCCTGTAGTCCTAGACACTTGGGAGGCTGAGATAGGAGGATCACTTGAGCCCATCAGTTCCAGGCTGCGATGAGCTGTGATCTCACCACTACACTCCAGCCT